TATATAATTATAGTTTAGATAAACCACACTAAAGACCACACTTTAACAATTACCTAGGTGTTTTTGTTTTGTTGTTGTTGCAAATTTTAAGGATATATAATTATAGTTTAGATAAACCACACTAAAGACCACATTTTAAGAATTCAAAATATCACTTTTCCTTATCCTAAAAACACTGTAAAGATTTATTACAAATTTTTATTTTGTATTTATGATTCAGTCATTCTATTTCAGTTAACAGGCTCTTCATTTTTGTCTTTAGGCCAAAAACACAAAGTAAGAGGTGATATTAATGTTCTTTTGTGTGGAGATCCTGGAACTGCAAAATCTCAGTTTTTGAAATATATTGAGAAAATTGCACCTCGGGCAGTTTTTACAACTGGTCAAGGAGCATCAGCTGTTGGTTTAACTGCATATGTCCAAAAAAGTCCAGTAACAAGAGAATGGACATTAGAAGCTGGAGCACTTGTATTGGCTGATCGAGGTGTTTGTCTAATAGATGAGTTTGACAAGGTAACAAGTCTTATTCTGTCAAGAAACCTGAGTAGTATCACAAAATTGCATTTACCCTAAGTTAAACAAAAGTTTTGAAAGTATCCTTTTTATTTACAGCATAATCCTAGTTAAAATAAAAATAAATTTGGAAACCAAAAGAATGAAATAAAATTTTACTACTTTTGGTAGTTTATACATTGTGTATACTTTAACTTACACAATTGTTCATTAAATCTTTGATTATCTTTATTAGTTCAATCTAAGTATAGAGCAATTATTCTGATAGATGAATGATCAAGATCGCACTAGTATTCATGAAGCCATGGAACAACAGACAATTTCCATTTCCAAAGCAGGAATCGTGACTTCACTTCAAGCTCGATGTGCTGTTATTGCTGCAGCTAATCCAATTGGTGGGCGATATGATTCATCCCTTACTTTTTCTGAAAATGTAAGCATAAAAAGTTTTTAAGTTGTAAAGAGTGTATGTTGGATGTCTAGTAAGTAATAGCACAGAACTAATAGATATTCATTATGTCTTCAATGAACATGTAGAAGTTTTCTTTCATGGTTGTGATAATAATAAAAGCCATACGATACATGAAGAGGATACCTAGAAAGTTCATTGTTGAACTTAGGATGTGTAACTATTAAATAAAAAACAAGTTTTTGGGATAAAACAAAATATTCTAATTATGTACTGGACTCAATGGAAGTTTTTGAAAATACTTAGTGGATGTAGTCAACTTCTAACAATACAGAATGGGATCTTTCACTTCCACACAACAGTTTCATGCATTTTTTTTTATTCTGGATCACACAAACACTTTAGGACCATAATTTTGAGGAATGCTTTTTATAGTAGAATTTTCTTTAAATCAGGATCATCTCTTATCATATGACCAGTTTGTGACATTTGAATAACATTTTCAAAATATAGATTTAAAATAATACAATGAAGTCGTTATTTCATATTCTTGATACAGGTAGACCTTACTGAGCCCATTCTCTCAAGATTTGATGTTCTGTGTGTTGTTAGAGACCAAGTGGACCCTGTGCAGGTATATGTTTTTTAATGGACATTTGTTTTAACTTGTATGATTAAATCTTTAGATTGTTTTTAGCTTTCTTGTTACATAGCAACTTTTACTTGTTTTTTTTTTCAGAAATATATATAACCTGTTTTCTTTGTGTTAGGCTTGTAGTAAGCATTAGTTGTCAATAGGAAAATATGGTTTATATAGAGGTTTGTAAAACATTTATTTACTTTCAAAGGTCTAATATAAATATTGTAACTTCTGTAACCCTACATTCACAGGGTTAGATTGCTGAACCAAGCCAGTATTGGAAAAGTATTTTTTACTATAAATTTTACAGTTCCAAATTTACTTAATGTATCTTCACAAAATTTAATTTTTTAGTCAGAATTTGTATTAAAATGCTTATATTAAAAGCTTGTATCTGAATTTACTTTAGTCAGTCTAACTCAAACTCTGACTAGTCTGTGTGCAAGGTGATTTTCATGTACCTTACTTCTAGAATCTCCCAAATGAATATTAAAAGTTTTTTTTTTCTCTATCCTAATAAGTTTCTAATTTTTATATTTTAATTATTTTTGGTAAAAAGATATATAGAAGAATGAAAAATATTCATAGAAAATATATCTAGCACTTCAGGATTGAGGCCCTTTTGCTCTCAGAAGTTGGTGTTCGTTAATCCAAACATTAGTTGGTTGTCCAAGAATAAATAGTATGGCTTTCAGATATACATTTTTAAACACCAACAATAATTCAAACAGTAAAACAGAATGCTCCAAGCTACTGTAATTTATCTAGCTTTTTAATTGACTTATAAAACATTTTAAAAATTTCATTACTTACAAGAACACGAACTTCAGTCTTCACTCAAAATCTGCTTGGGAAATGGTGCATCACTCCTATGGTTCAGCAAATAAGCCTGTAGACTTATAATTCTAAAATCCTGGTTCTGATATCCATGGTGGGCACAGCACGGCTGACCTATTATGCAGTTTTGTTCTTTAAAAAAATAAAAAGAGAAATGACACCTTTTACCAAAATAATATTTACATAAAGATTCATAATCACATAATTCACACAATGTCCCTTCTATTGGTGATAAACACACAACATTAACACACAAGCATGAGTAAATAAATAATCTCCAAAGCATGTAAAGTTAGGAGAAGCTTCTATGGTGGGTGTAACAAGTTTATTGATATCTCAGAAAATAAGGAACATGGGATGTTCTTGTTTTAAATTCTGGCCTGCATCTATATTTGGTCTATCTGATAATTTGACATTTTGAAACCCATGAAAGGGAAAAAAGAAAATCTAAAATGGAGAATTCAGAGTAGAGGAGCATTACATGACAGATAGAATTGAAGACGGAGAATTTATTTTAAGCTAGCTGGAGTATCTGTCTGTTGGACAGGTGAAATAAAAACTTGTTTGTAACAAAGGATAGGAAATTTTGCTTCTATTTTTTTCTTCTTAACATAATAAACATTAAGAGTGCAATAAAAATACATAAAGGTACCAATAATGAAAAGAAAGACATTGTTTTCAAGAATTCTAATAATATTATAGTTACATAGCTCATTCTAATGTTTAGGGATATACAACATTAGTGGTTTTTCTGAACTTCCTCGTGTCATCCTGTATCACAGTGTCAAGTTTGGTGCTGATTTATCAAGAAATATATAAGAAACAGATACACATATTGACATTTATTTATATAGATTAATAAAACTTATATAATACTAGTATAAAACACCATCAGAAATGATGGGGAATCCACTGTTAAAATATTAACAAAAACTATAGAATTTAACTAAATCAAAGTTGTTTGTAGCTCCAAAATTCACCTACTCTTCACTAATTTTATCAGTCTCAAAGTAATTCTTTAATCACCACATTTTTGGTAAAAACTATGGAGAAAAAAGGTTATCATGAACAAAAGTACGTGTGCACTCTGAAAGAGACTAGAATAGCACCCTTGAGTCTTCTTCTGTATTTTAGGTCAGGAAGTAGAAAACATTATGCAGACATCCTGACACAAATTTTAAACTTTTTTCTTTTTTATTGTACAAAGGATAAAAGATATTTTGTTGTAATAAATATTTATTTTTCTGTATGTTTTAAGGCCGAGTAGATAATGTATTTGTTAAGATACGAAATAAATATTTATTTTTCTGTATGTTTTAAGGCCAAGTAGATAATGTATGTGTTAAGATACCAAATCAATATTTATTTTTCTGTATGTTTTAAGGCCAAGTAGATAATGTATGTGTTAAGATACCAAATCAATATTTATTAATTAACACTTATTCACCACTTAAAACTTTTTAAACACTGACTATAACATTAGTAATAGCAGGCTTATTTGTAGTCTATATTAAGCATTAGGCTTATTACATAAACGTAACGTAAGGCTTAGCTGAAACACTACTTGGTAAATTTTATTTTGCTTTTGGCTACAATTCAATGTAATGAAACTTCTGAATTAAACTATATGACCAAAATTATAAAAAAATATACAATAAAAACAAACCTTTCTAACAAATCAACATGAATATTGAGCATTCAACAAAAACACCATAGTTGGGCTAAGAACAATCAGGTGACAGTTTTGTTGCTAAGTGATGATGTATGTTGTTGAGCATTACCAAAAAAGGAGCATGAAAGCATTCTTGACAGAGTTACAAAGGTAATGAGCTTTTTGTAGTTAGTGATTACAATTTAAATTATAAACTAGATTTTAATGCCAGACTTACTGAAGTTTTGAAAGTAACAAAGTCTTGGCATACACATACACACACACTGATCCTCACCCATGCACATAGGGTTAACTTGTTCAGTATCATAAATTTTGTGCATTATTTTCTTGGATCATGTAAAGCATAGTGAACATCACAGGTAGCTGATAGATGATATTTATTTGACAGGATGAGCACTTGGCTAGGTTTGTGGTTCAAAGCCACATTCGCCATCATCCAACAAACCCATTAGAAGAAGGAGCTGAAATTACTGAAGCAGTAAGTTAGCTCAGATTTTGAACATGAAATAAGAATTATTTTGTATAATTGTTAAGTATTTATTGTTCAGTAGATACAAAGTAAATACTGATGTTACTACATAACTTGGTTACATCAACATATTAATATCATAAAACTTAATAAACGTGTACTGTTTTTTATTTTCAATATAATTTGTTAAACATATTGAAGGTACCTTACAAGAGAATCAAATTTTACTATTAGACTGCATTTCATTTTTTTCATAAATGTGTTACTGATTTTATCATTCCAATTAAGGTTTAACAGTCATGTTTTTAAGAAGTACCTTTCCTTAATTCTTGAATAGTTGAAAACCATATTGTATCATAAATTAGATAAATTACAGTTAAGAAAAGTTTCAAAAAATAATATTTTCAGGTTATTTGGCTCATAATTATTAATAATTATAGTTTGAGATTACTATGTACTATTTAATTTTATTCCTTTACATATTATAGTTATTAAAACTTAATATTTGTTTATAAATAGGAAGCACCTGGTTTGAGTGGGGTTGAAAAAATACCCCAAGACTTATTGAGGAAGTACATCATTTACAGTAGGGAAAAAGTTCATCCTAAACTTCACCAAATGGATCAAGATAAAATAGCCAAAATGTATAGTGAACTACGAAGAGAGTCCATGGTATGTGCTGAACATGATGTCTGAATCTTGTCACTCTTATTACTTAATCTTATATATGTTTAACTTTTAGTTCTGTGCACATTAACTCTTTCGAGATGGGTCATGGGTGAAAGGCCATGTCATCTCATTTGTTCACAATTTTATTTAACTACTATCTCATGAATTTATGTCAATAAGTTTGGTATCAAACTGTAGATTACAATTCAACTTAATATTATACATTACTCAATTTCGTAATTTAAAAGTAAATATAAAAAAACATCAATTTTTGTGTGTCACGTAGTATGTTGAGTGCAGCACTAGTTCAAATTAGATATTTGTGATGTCAAAATACAAACTTTGTAATATCATATGAATTAGTAACTCAAACTACCAATAATGACAAGCTAGAATATAAGATAAGAACCTCTTATCTTTTCAGTTTGCTAAGATATTGCTCATGTAATAAATCAAACACAGTGGCACCTTGCCCACCTCTTTCCATTTTTGGAAACACTCCCTTATATGCACTTGCTTCTATATATGACATGAATAACCAATTGGAAGCTCAGAATGTCCCCTAGTGGCTTTCTCAGCCATTTTAACAGGCTTGGACACCATTTCTTTCGTTCCAACCAAGATTTCAATGAGGTAGGTTGTGTCTTTAGTCTGCTCGGAATTTCATATTTTTTTAGACTAGAATACAGCTTAGTTACTAAGCTTGAAAAATTATAGTGGAATTCTATGGGATTGATATAGTAATTTATGATTTTTTTGGTTATTGAACGGTATATATAAATCCTAAAAAAATATTTCGTTTCTCATCCTCAATGTGCAAAATTTTTATAGGCTTAGCAACCGAGTACAAATGTCATAACTAGAAGAGGAAATTGTTTGCTTTACTTCTTTATTTACTGTTCTATGTTTTAAGAAAAATAAATTTAAGAATTTATTTCTAAATAGCAATAATCTATATACATTTTTAATCTATAACAATTGAAATGTGACTGTATTTTACAAAATACTAGTCTACTAAAACACAGCCAAGACAGGTCACTTTGTACAGACCAAAGGTCACCTTTATGTTATTTGATATGATAACATGAGTGCACGTGAGCCATGTCATTTTAACTTCTGTATTGTTAGCCAGGCATGGCCGAAAGGTCAATATAATAAAAATAATAAATATGTATATAAATGTATAATGTTAGTCTAAACATTTATGTTTTCTTGTTACAATCTGTAGTCATTCTAGAACGAAAAAAGCATAATTTAAATTTATTTCCTTTTTTGTTTTTGATGGTTATTAGGCCGGTCAAATTGATAGAAAATAACATAAAAAAAATATAAAGTTTTACTGAAAACAAATGTTTTAATTGTATTTATGATGTTTTAGAGATTACAGAAATAATATTTGAGATTATTGGGACAAACAATAGTTTTTTAGTTATAACATGAAAATCACTTTGCACTTGGAGTGGTAACGAAACAGACTTGATATTTTCATAAAGAAATCTAGAATAGAAATAATTCATTAAAAATTCAGATTTTTTGTGTACGAAAGACTTGTAATCTTTACTAAATGTCTACCAGATTTTGTGAAGATACACTTATTGCATTAAAAGTTATAGTATAAATACTTAACTTGTGTATATTATACCAAGTCCATCGCAAAAGTGTTAGGTTAACTAAAACAAGTGTAGTGACAAAGATTTTCAACTTTTTTTTATTTATTTACAGGCTGTTCTTGTGTTTTCATCCAATCTTTCATAGATTGTTCTGTTTGATCATTTAAGAGAAGTGTAAGATGAATTAAGTTTTTCATAATGTTTGCACTGTTGTAAAATGAGCTTTCTGTTTACTCAGACCACTGGCAGTGTACCAATCACTGTGCGTCACATTGAGTCAGTGATTAGGATGGCTGAGGCACATGCCAGGATGCACCTTAGGGACTACGTTCATGAAGATGATGTGAATATGGCTATCAGAGTTATGCTGGAGAGTTTTATTGACACCCAGAAATACAGTGTCATGAGAAACATGAGAAAGGTAAAAAGTTATTTAAACTTAGTACCAAGTTAATTGACCCTTTCAAGTCCATATGTGTGATACTAGCCACATATGCATTCATCAAAATTAATAACTCCTTAACAAAATTATACCTAGAATACAGTTTCTTCAAACATAAAACTTGATAAAAATTGCATGTTTTTGAACCTAAATCGGAGTTTTTGGTAAATTTATAATGAATAAAAACCACTAGGTGACATAGCTGATGGTATTTTCAGATAAATCTGATTTATCCCAAGAATGAATGAGATAGGTTTACCAAATAATTATAATGTTATAATTATATAAAGTTATAATGAATGAGATAGGTTTACCAAATAATTATAATGTTATAATTATATAAAGTTATAATGAATGAGATAGGTTTACCAAATAATTATAATGTTATAATTATATAAAGTTATAATGAATGAGATAGGTTTACCAAATAATTATAATGTTATAATTATATAAAGTTATAATGAATGAGATAGGTTTACCAAATAATTATAATGTTATAATTATATAAAGTTATAATGAATGAGATAGGTTTACCAAATAATTATAATGTTATAATTATATAAAGTTATAATGAATGAGATAGGTTTACTAAATAATTATAATGTTATAATTATATAAAGTTATAATTATATAAACTTATAATGAGACATTCAACTAGAAAAGTAAGTCTGAATTTCTCTGAAACTTATTGAGTTTGTGAAAAAAAAAGATACTGGATAAAAGTGCAAACACATGGTAATAACTATGTATAATAACACAAACCACAGTGTGTATATTACTTCGGCAGTAAGGATCTTTACAGAAGAAATTATACAACTTAAGAGATCTGCTAAATCTGTGGATATTCTCCATATCTGTCTGTTCCAGTTTGCATCATGTAATATACTTAAAATCTATAGCTTCATACTTTTCCATGGTAAATAATTCCACCCACATTACTGGAAATGAGGGAGGTTTTAACCTTGAGAAATCATGTGACTCACCATAGGAGAAAATTGCTGTTAATTTTCATACAAAAAATGCAACTTTATAGCTATCCCCATAGTGGGCAAACCAGGGGAACAATACAGAACAATAAGTAGCTAGAGTGAAAATAACTTAATGACTTTCAGGTTTGTTTTATATGAAAATTGCACAAACCTAGAATGAACAAAGAAACTTACATTAAAATAAGAAGGTAGCAGATATGGTATATTTTGATATATTAAAAGTATACATTTGAAATTGTGAATACCATCAAGTCAAGATGTGACAAAAGTTGTGTGTTGAAAGGAGGAGGAGATGTTACATTAATTTCATTTCACTCTATACTGATAATTCAGATAAAGTTAGTGTTAGGGTAGAGACGATAACAGATAAAATATAAATTCTTAACCTTAAAAAAAAAACAATATTCATTTAGGAGGTTATGCAAATGAAATAGGAAAACAGTAAGATATGAGGAAGTATTTTTATTCTTAGCATAAAAATCACTTTGCACTGTGAATGACTCGGAAAAGGTTCAGATGTTCCAAGACAAATTTTTAATGAAAGCTTCCCAAATTTTGTGAAGATACACTTACTATGTAAAGTGTCATGCTTTTCAAGATCATATAAAATTACCAACCCGAGAAGATGGTGTGTTAATAAAGATACATTTTATACTATATTATTTATAACCAATGGAAAGCCAAGGTTTTCATCTATCAAGTGAGGTATTATTATAAGTTATTTTCTGTACAGAGAATTGTCAAATTTTCTTTCAGTACAAGTTTCGTTCCCACGGGAAAAGCATTGACGAGTTCAAATGAAGTTTTAACAGCTCTTGTTGCATAGTTAGAAAGCCAGAAAAATTGTGCTAGTTATGGGAAATTTTCTGTTTTTTGCATCTTATTATTCTATGTTCTTTTGGGGCATTAGTTATATGAATATAAATTATTTAATGCACCACTACCATTAGTATACAGTCATACACAGTCGACATAAAAAAAAGCCCAGGTAAGTACTATATTTCTTATTTTTCCTCTCTATTCTATATTTATTATTATGAAAGGAACTAAAATGTCAAAATAGGAAACTTTTTAGTTATGGTTAGATTGTGTAAAATAAATAATAATAATATAATAAATTTTTACAACGCATGCGTGCGAGCAGCTCAGAGTAGCTCATGGATAATGTAATTCGATAGTGTAACGTGAGTTGCGTGTTTTGCAAGTGATTTACAACTGATAATGGTATGAATAATAGTTAGAGATGATTCAAAGGGCAATAAAATAATAAAATTTAAGTAAAAATAGATGTATATGGTTACGAGTTTAAAGCTATTTAGGATAAACAAATGTAGTTTCATGTTAAAATTTGAAGTTATTCTAGAAAGAAAGGTAGTTCAGATTTATTTCAGATTGTTTTGGTGGTTTGAAGGTTGGTCAACTTGAACAACCTTGTATAGAGTTAGGTAAGAAAAAATAGATAAAATATAAAGTTTTTACTGAAAAAAGTTGAATATGTATTTAGGAGGTTTTTAGAGAATACACAAATGAAATTTGAGATTTTTGAGATGAAGAAAAGGATTTTTAATCTTAACATGAAAATCACTTTGCACTTGTACTATTCGAAGAAAAAAACTTGATATAATCACTGACCATTTTTATTAAAAATACTTCACTAAATAATCTGATTTTTTGTATGTAAAAGACATAATGTTTACTGAAAGTCTGGCAAATTTTGTGAAGATACACATACTATATTAAAAGTTAGTAGTATCAAAACTGTGTTCATTCAATTCGATCAAAGACTTAATTTGTTTTGATACACACACAAATACCATTTCAGGTTATGCATACAGGTGGGGCCAAAGTGCACATATTACAACCTTTTTTACAGTTACATTCAAAGATTTAATTTTCTAAAGGACATTTAAATATGTTCTCAGTCTTCACTTCTTTGAGCCACATGACTCGTATTGCCTCTGTTTTCTTCTTTTTAGATCTTTTTGATTCCCTTTTATGGCTTTTAGATTGTTCAAACAATTAGAAATACAAATTATAGGTATTGGCAGGTCAGAATATATATTGTGAATCTCCCACCTTCTCAATTTGCTGAGAGTAAAGCCCTTCCCATCTGTCATAGCTTTGAATGAATTTATCTAAACCCTGTATCCTTATTTGATAGATATGTTTTTAACCAATAGAAAGAACAAGTTTAATTGTATGGGTCCCTTATCTTCATTTTGTTTAGTTTTGGCATTCAGAATTGGTATTTTTCAAGAAAATGTTTTCAGTAAGTTGTTGTTCCAAATTGTAATGGAATTTTTTTAATCCATTTATAGCTTAGTTAGAAAGCTAGATAAATTATAGTAGTTTTATCATTCTCTTCTAGGGCCTGATATATTTTTGTGTTCTAAAATGACTATTTGATAGCTACATGAATTATTTTTTTGAAAACCAACATAGTGAGAAAAAAAGTGCATTTTATTAAACCACGACACCGAAATGGAAATGGCCTCAGTGCTAAAGTAAATTGTTAGTATTGTTTATCCATTATTATATATTTTGAATCAAAAACAATAAATGGAAAAGTAAAAGTTAGTAGGGGTTCTGATTTTGAGGTTTTGCCTGAAATATCCCGATTTTGACTGCAACCCCACTTTTTTTTGGATTTTGGGTTAAACCCGAAAACTCCTGAATATGCAGAAGACTTTATATGAATTGTTTATGATTCAAATGCAACAATAAAGAGCTGATATTTACAAAGTTAACTTTCATACCTGTTGAAAAAAAAAATGTGGATTCTTATTTTGCTTTTACAATTATTAGAGTCTCAAGTTGCTCAGTGGTATGTCTACGTACTATTGTAAACTGAAAACTGGGTCTCTATACTCGTGGTGGGCACAGCACAGATGGCCCATTGTGTAGTTTTGCTTATCCTCAAACAATTATTAGAGCAATATAGCTTTACAGTTTCAGACATGATATCTTACCTTTTCTCACAAAAAACTTTCTCGACTTATACTGCTCTCTATTGATGCAAATTTTCACTTGCCACTAGCCTTGATACTCCCACTTACTCTCGTATATGTTAACGTGAGACATCTGCATACTAACATGCAAATGATTATACAGCAACCCTCCACTAATAGGAGTGCAACACTACCCTTTTTGTAACTAGTGCTCTCTCTAATCTTTCAGCTGTTAACCACTTTTTGATTGGCAGTCTTATTGAATAGACGTTTTTGCTTGTGGTCGATTAATTTATCAATATGTTTTTACTTTCTTAGTTTGCTACTTCACTTCAATTGTTATTTACCATTTTTGTGCAGAGTTATGATTTATTTTATATTCTTTCCTTTTTTCTTTGTGAGAATTTTGCACTTGCAATTTCAAGTGGTCATGACTACAACTGCTGTTACTGCTGCAGTGGATTTACCGACCACGTCCATCTGGTTGGAGCCCCTATTATTGACCCATGACATTTTGACTCTTGTACATCAGGAGTTGAACAATTTCATGCAATATTCAGAGCTACTTGTTGATTGTCCTTTCATTTCTGCTCACTCCTGTTTCCTTCCCTTCTCCACAAGATCCCATTTCTTGCCAGCATCTTTTGGAGGTAGTTTGGGACTTAGTTTGCAAAGAATGTCATGGAACAAAAAGATTCTTCTTATCCAGGATGTTAATCTCATCTGTTTGTTGCTCCCTAAAAGACGGGATTGGCACCTGGTCATCGATTTGTTGTTCCAGAACCATTTTTTGTATCATTCCCAAGTTTATCATAGAGTCATATGTAGCTCTTCGTTGTGAAAGACAAAGGTTGACGTGTCAGATGCATATCCATATCCTCCATCTCTAGGAGCCCTCATTCCTCTTGGTCAGGCCCGGCATGGCCAGGTCGTTAGGGAGCTCGACTCCCAATCTGTGGGTTGCGGGTTCGAATCCCCATCCCACCAAACATGCTCACCCTTTCAGCCATGAAGGTGTTATAATGTGACGGTCAATCCCACT